TGGGGTGAGCGGTTCCAAGTCGTTACTGTCCGCTGTTAGCGGGACAAGTGGTCAATCATTTACTATATTTTCAGCCTGTACAAGGAGGACACTGAGCTACTCGTCAGTTAGAAATTGCCAGATACCTCCCCGAGGGCTGGCAGCAGGTGGGCTGAAGTTCAATCGCATATCTAGATAAATTAGTTGGTCCGAAACTCTCTTTTGATCCGAATTGTGTAAATCCTTTCGGAGTTCCGCTACTGCTCCAACACAATCAGCCCCGCTGTCCCTGTAGATGTCAGTGGATCGCTCGTGTTTACTCACGAATCTCATTAGACATTTGCTGAAAAAATTTGTGGTGGGGCTGGCGGCTATCTCAAGATGAACTCCCCCCTAAGTAAGCAGTTGAAAACCACCGTAAAGTTCCTCAAACGATCCTTCACGTTTTACCATTAATGAGCCAAAATACTCCACTCCAACGGACTTGAAAGGGTCCCAACCAACTTTTTTTTGTCTAAGGGACGCGGAGACATCATTTACGCCTGCAGTTGTTAAAATGCGCGTCTGCAAAGTAGAAAACTACCAATGACAGTTTGACAGAAGCGTTTCCTCTTAGAATTCGAAATTTCTGTCGGATTGTACCTAGGACTTGTGTTTTCCCACGATGGGTTTTTAATTCACGAAAATTGTTGAAGATTAACTCAACCAGGGAATTATTGTATGGAAGGATGGAAGGGGGCTTTAACGGTTCATCAAAAGCTCCAGTAGATCAGGCGACCAACAACAAACATTGCTCCTTTAAACATCACTGGACATAAATTTCTCAAACTAATATCTGTCGCGGACCTTATTTTCCTGTAATGTGCTGGTGATGACTGCAGAATACTCAATTATTCGGAAAAGTGATTCTTTCGCATAAGCTTTATCAAACTAAAGCTAGCTTAGCCCATTCCAGACCCGTCGTGAGCGTCTCTTGAGATGCCTTGCCAGTAGTGACTACGATTCACTGCTAGAAACGAAAGAGCCAGACCACAATCCTTTGCACCTTTGTTCAACCCGAAAAACACATAATCAGTTTGTCTTAACTATCACGCTGGCTTAATTTATGAGCTAGGGTTATTGTCCTCCTGGAGATTGTACAAGCCATTAGCTTTCAGGTTAAGTGCCCAATGAGCTTCCGCAATATCACTCCCAATGAATATGTCAATCTAGAAATCAACGAGCTCATCGAACATTACACCGTTGACATGCGGCCCCAAAAGATGCCATCCTTTTAACTGACGGTTCTATACAAAGTGGCATGTCTTCAAACATTAATGTCCTATCAATCGCAACTGCCTCCGTTCCATTTACGGGCAACATAGTTTGGCTTCTGACTTCCGAGGTACGTTCGACTGAGCTACTTAAGGTGCTCATTGATATTAATTTCGGCGTTGGGTACACTCCACAGTCGACGAGAAGTTCACCTTTAATCAGACTGACATCCAAGCCAGCGTCAAAAATGCGCAAATTTCGACGTTTCCTGTTGGAATTGCTAATTTGCAAGTCAGGGCACAAAGCCCTTTCAATGTTCGTTGATCCTCGCACAAGACTAAAAACACGCTTTCTGTTCCCGCATACAATTCCAACCACCTGCGACAGCCATCAAAAGTGAACGTGAGCAATTTGATGCTTTTATGTGTACGTGAGAACATATTTAACATGACCATCGGTCTGGTACAGCAATCGAAATGGAAAACATTATAGGGGTTCCCCCGTTTTTTGATGTTCAACAGTAGCGAATGCGCTGAAAGCGCTTGGCATTCCCAGCCCGAGATATTTGCCCAAAAAGACTTCTGACTATCCTAGCTCTAATATTTACGACTACCATGAGGTCTGCAGTATGTGCATCCTTATCATTTATAGATATTCTGTTAGCCACTTTGGCCCACTGGCTTTGCTTGAAAAACGCTAGACAGCGCACACCCCGCTCCAGAACATTCAGCGGCTATAGGTCGAATACGTAGTTCATTTCCTGAGTGCTCAGTTCAGTTTATTTGAGGGAAATATAGGTGTTGAGTCTTTGAACTCCCTATGCTGTTTCACAGTTTTTCATTTTATGCACAAATCTGAAAATGCCTTTGCTGTCTAGTTAACTTTTCATGCCTGCATCAAGACACCATCCGAAAGAGCACGGGCGACAAGCTTCGGAGTATGTCGGATGCTCTTAAATAAGCCAACTGTGAGGACAGCTTGATATCCTTCTATTGCAGCTCTCGCATCACCTCTGCAAAAGTGAGTCAAGTGCAGGAACCTCTGTCCAGCATCTTCAACTTTGTTCTCCACGTACACTCAAAACTAGCGTATAAATTTCCAGTAATGCATGGGGTTACTGTCGAAGCAGGAGACTTCAATCATAGGCAGTTCTAAACTGGCAACTGCAAGACTCGTAGTACTTGCCTTGGGCATACCAGCATTCACACGGTTGTGGTGGTCACTCTCTTCAGGACAAATTCCTCTCAGTGTGCATTGCGTCGAATATCCCGGGACATGTAAAACTGAATCCACAGGCTGCCGATCGTCATCGTACATTTCTTCGTCGCTCTCCACCTCTAGCCTAGCAAGCTCGGTCGTTCTCTATGCATCAAAAATAACCCGTTGAATTTCAGCCTCCCATGTATGCGTCCAATGAATCTGCCAATCTAGAAATTAATGAGCTCATCGAACATTACATCGTTGACGTGCGGCCCCAAAAGATGTCATCCTTTTAACTGACGGTTCTACACAAAGTGGCATGTCTTCAAACACTAATGTCCATTCAATCGCAACTGCCTCCGTTCCATTTACGGGCAACATAGTTAGGCTTCTGACTTCCGATGTACGTTCGACTGAGACACTTAAGGTGCTCATTGATATTAATTTCGGCGTTGGGTACACTCCACAGTCGGCGAGAAGTTCACCTTTAATCAGACTGACATCCAAGCCAGCGTCAAAAATGCGCAAATTTCGACGTTTCCTGTTGAAGTTGCTAATTTGCAAGTCAGGGCACAAATCCCTTTCAATGTTCGTTGATCGTTCTCTGACAACATTACACGAAAAAGCGTATAATGACGTTTTGTGCAGTCAAACTGACAAAAATGTCCCCTGGATCCGCACACCTTTGCACAGTGCGTATTACCAAGGCTAAAAACACGCTTCGTGTTCCCGCATACAATTCCACCCACCTGCGATAGCCATCAAAAGTGAACGTGAGCAATTTGGTGCTTTTAAGTGCACGTGAGAACATATTTAACATGGCCGTCGGTCTGGTAGTGCAATCGAAATGGAAAACATTATAAGAGTTCACCCGTTTTTTGTTATTCAACAGTAGCGAAAGCTCTTGGCATTCCCAGCCCGAGATATTTGCCCAAAAAGACTTCTCACTATCCTAGCTCTAATATGTACGACTACCATGAGGTCTGCGATATGTGCATCCTTATCATTTATAGATATTCTGTCAGTCACTTTAGCCCACTGGCTTTGCATGAAGAACGGTAGACAGCGAACACCCGCTCCAGAACATTCAGCGACTATTGGTCGAATGCGTAGTTCATTTGCCTGAGTGCTGTTTCACAACTGTTTATTTTTACGCACGAATCTAAAAAGGCCTTTGGGGTCTAGTCAACTTATCATGCCTGCATCAAGACACTATCCAAAAGAGAACGGGCGACAATATGGGGCTGTTCAAACAAGCTGCTGAGCATGTCGGATGCTCTTAAATAAGCCAACTGTGAGGACAGCTTGATACCCTTCTACTGCAGCTCGCGCATCACCTCTGCAAAAGTGAGTTAAGTGCAGGAACCTCTGTCCAGCATCTTCAACTTTGTTCTCCACGTACACTCCAAACTAGCGTATAAATTTCCAGTAATGCATGGGGTTACTTTCGAAGCAGGAGACTTCAATCGTAGGCAGTTCTAAACTGGCAACTGCAAGACTCCTAGTACTTGCTTTGGACATACCAGCATTCACACGGTTGTGGTGGTCACTCTCTTCATGACAAATATCACTCAGTGTGCATTGCGTCGAATATCCCGGGACATGTAAAACTGAATCCACAGGCTGCCGATCGTCATCGTACATTTCTTCGTCGCTCTCCACCTCTAGCCTAGCAAGCTCAGTCGTTCTCTATGCATCAAAAATATCCCCTTGAATTTCAGCCTTTCGCTTACGCCGTTCCTCTTTAATTTTTGTTATTCGCAAAACTTTAACTGTTTTATTGGAACTAAGACCATTAAAAGAAACGGTTTTACAGGAGCCGGACTGAAGGTATTTCTTGAGGTCTCCTTGCCCTCTAAAGACATCTGGTTTGTCCGGTTCGAAGGCCTGATCCGTGATTTTCTATCCGTTCTTCCTTGAACGCGTCTGCATTTAATAAAACCAGTTCTGCTCAATATTTGATAAGGGGCTGAGTACTGTTGAATTCTTTGCTAATTCGATCAACGCGTAACAGCGAAGAAGGATTTCGGTGAATAAACAGTACTACTGATAAAATATAGGTAACAATGAAAAAGCGTACAATCCTTAAAAATGGATATCCTAGCCAAAGGATTCCCTTATCACTATATGAACAAACTGAATTTCCAACTCAAAGTCGGAATATAAAACCAGTTAATTAAAGGGGAGCAGATCAGGGCTGACAGAAGAGCACAAAAGTGGAAAGGGAAAGGTCAACAAGGAGCGAAAATGGAGGCACTGGCGAATGTGACGTGGAGAATTCCAAAGGCTGACCAACTGGGTATAACATTAATAGCTCATGGCTTTCAGAAAATAGGCGGCTTTCGTGTTGCAAATAAAAAATCTAGGTTTGTGGACGTAAATAATTTCAAAGCTAACCAGCATTTCTGGTGCACGCGGAAGCTGGCTTTGCCCAAAGAGTGGCCCGATATGCCAACGGACAGTTGGACCATCGTGTCCGACGATGTCCGCCGTGTGCTCCACAACAAGGTGAAGCTGACACGAAAACACGCTAATTACTTTAAAGTGGTAGTGCACTTGCACAGAAGTTACAACACTACACCACCACCACCACCACCACCACCACCACCACCACCACCACCACCACCACCACCACCACCACCACCACCATCATCATCATCATCATCAGCATCATCCACCTAGACCTGATGTCAAGACAGAGTCAAGAAAACCGAAGGCTGGTACGAGCATCGGCAAGTGGCGTGACCGAGTCCGCACGTTACCACTCCACTCAACACTCTCCTTGTCCATGCAAAAAAACAACCAGGATTTTAACTAACAACTAAACTGGGAGGGGGTGGGCGACAGGGATCCCAAGGTGCGCGACCACTACCGGCAACTGGGTCTGTCACCGCACCCCAAAATATGGGCACTGGTTATAGTACGCGTTCCGATAACGCCTGCGGCGACCAATATGGTCCCCCTGTTGGTGCAGCGCATTTACCGCGTGGCTCGTTTTGGAGGCACGGTATGCTAAGCAACGCATTAATAGCCATCGGTTTGGCAATCTATCTCGTCGTAGTGACGTTCAGGTTCAACTACATAGTTGACGAACTCTTCCCCTAAAGCCGGCCGCGGGGTAAATGCGGTGAACCGAAAGGGGGCCAGATCGGGATGCGACAGGTGTTGTTGGGAATGTACACCCACAAATAACAACCATGCTCAACGGGTAATGTGGTGCGTCTAGGCGCAGGTCCGCGTAAGGCCAACCACTTGCGTCCGATCCCGCCTCCGGACTTCTTCGCCCTTTCTTAGCACCGGGCCCAGGAGTGTAATGGAGGGCAGGGTGCGGTAGACGAAACGCAAGCCAAGCATCACAACAAACACATTCACACGCAAGTCACCGTCTCTGTTCTCACCTGGTTATTGGACTTCGCCGGCAACGACGGTCAAACTGTTTACATGCCACAATTGTTTTAAGTTAGGATTCGAATTCACCAATTTTTATGACTATTCAGAAGACAGTTGATCTGGCCGTAGATTACTGTCTGCATGATCCGACAGTTCGACCAACGCTGTCGACGATGTCCACTGTGTAGTGCGCAACAGGGTAAGAGCAGGGACTGTGGATCGGGCATGAATTCATTTATAATAGTGGTTGACTTGCACTTCATCTACCGCACTCCCTCTTCCTCCTGGAGCCGGGTGTTAACAGCGGGGCGATAGAGAGAGAGAGAGAGAAAGCGCGTAGGCGGCTGGCAGAGCGAAAACGCGGACCTAGGTGTACCGCCATACCACCTGGTCCCCAAAGTACACTGATCAGCGTCTTGGGGATCAGCTGGCGCGGGTCTGCACCTAGGCGCGCTGCCATACCCCCACTTTGACATTTGTTATGCCTGTAAGAATGATCGGTGAGCGTCCCCTACCACTGTATGTTCCCGATCGAAACCGACACGACAACGGGCTCGTGGCCCAGTGGTTAGTGGTGTGGACTTCTAACTAACAGGTTGCGAGTTCGAGCCTCGGGTGTTCCACACTTCGGCGTTGCGTACGACTGGATGACGACGGTTAATAAGCCAGAAACGGCCATTCCAGTCTCCCTTGTTTTTTGTCGGTAATACCGAACTACCTATATCATGCGCCGCTGTGCGGCTGCTGGTTGGGCTCGAGATAGAGAGCCCGTAAGGCACAACGGAAAGAGTGAGTTCCGTAAGAACGATCGGTGAGTGTCCCCGACCATTGTTATGCGTGTGCCTTTCCCGACAACGCATGCCGCACCTCGATCTAGTCCCCGTTTTGGTGCAATGCATCAACCGCCTGAAGCCCTTCTAAGGGCAATGCACATGCTATTTGGAGCGAGGAGGGCCATAAGCACTTGATAGAACCGAAGTGTTCATCAGTGCCTCGCCACCTGCCATCCTCTGTTGCTGGTAACTGGTTGCCTGTTCGTGAACTTTGCCACCCATACGGAGCTTGTTTGCTTCGTGAAGCCAGTAGATCGGTGTGCGCCCATTCCTTATTTAACATGGTATTTGTGCTTAACCGATATGACTGTACGAATATGCAGACCCACTTTATCGGGCTTTGAATTTCAGTCCAGAGCATTCGCAGGCGGCGATATAAATAGGAGGAACAAAGACAATGAGGAGAGTTATTCGAAGCAGCGTTTCTGGCCCATTCGCTACCGCCAGCTAACCACAGACATGCAAGCAAGGAGTGACCTGACCGTGTCCAGTAAGACAGAAAAGGTCTTCCGTTTGAGACATCAGGGGATTTACAGAGCCGTGAAGTGTTACTCCCTACGGGGAGGAGACATAGATAAGGAAAATCGTCCACAGAAAACGCCTTGTTACAGAACATTATCCAACACTTCAGCAAAACGCAAATGTGGGGATATGCTGACCTTAAGAAGATTGGAATTTCGATTATCCAAAGCTCACTAAAGAGGGCAAAAGTTATCCTCTTCTGAGGGTAAAACGTTCTATCACTGGAGCTGGCCTTGTTGTGCGCTGACCACATTTGGGCAGCAAGTTGTCAGGATTCTGATTGCCAGATAAGTATGCGTCCGAAGCCAACTTAAGCAATCCCGATGCGCTCTGGACCACCTGTGGCGAAAGGCGCCGATCGGTCACGTTAGAGTCGCGTGCTTTTTTTTTCTAATTCCACTGCTGCGATCAGCTGCACCGAGGCTGAACGCGCGCCACCGTTTCGTTCACCTGAAAGCTGACGATCACCTCACACGTAGTGTGGCGCACGTATTAACGACGGAAGACGCATGCGTGCCTGAGACGCCAACAGTGATATTCTTGACATGCTACACATTAACAGGTGGTTTTACTGGCTGTATCTTCACGTAAGGTGACCGAGACGCATGAGGACACCCAGACTAAGAGCCTGTAAATCTTGCAAGACCAGGATGTGCACTTACATGAGATAAACTCAATAAGTCAAGTAAGATGATCCAGTGAACTCATCAGGTCGCTGGTGGCGGTTTAATTGTTCTACAGTGTTTCAGATAGTGACATGAGGAAGTCGTAAACTGAAGTACTTGTAAGCAGTATGTCATTACCGACAAAGAAAAGGGAGACTGGAATTACCATATCTGGCTTATTAGCCGTCGTCAGCCAGTCATACACAACGACGAAGTGTTAAGTTCAGTTCAGTTTATTTTGAGGGAAATATAGGTGTTAAACCTTTTAACTCCCTATCTGTTACAAGGAGGCGAACTATATCAAAAATTTGAAATGGAAACTTCAAAGAGCTACAGAGTGTCTTCAGATTGGCATAGTTTTCGAGCCAGACAGATAAACGAATTGTTCCAAGAGTTAAAAACATTAACTTCACTAAGTGTGCTGTACAGCAGTCTGTCTATGGATAGTTGGTGCTATCTCAGTTTCTGAGGGAGACGAAGATGCCAGCACACATTTAGCAGACGTAGGACGATACTAAAAAACAAACATTACTGAGATACAGGCAGTAATATAACACAATTAACAAAATGTTCGAACGAAATGCTAGACGTTGTCGGTCAGGTGGCATTAGGACGTTTGGTTGTACACTGGTCCAACTTGAGCTTAAAAGCCTCGACGGAGGTGGACATGACGACATCTGTAGGCAGAGCATTCCAGGCCTCGATCACTCTGTTTGAAAAGAAGAACTTCCGCATGTCCAGCTTGGCGCCAGTTACGCGTAGCTTAAGTGGATGACCTCGGGGGTTCGTTGTGGTCGCTAACTCAAAGAAATCAGCAGGTACGAGACAGCAGTCGTGGCTGCGCAGTATACGGAATGTTTGCATTAGGTCGCCTCTTAGCTGTCTGTAACTCAGTGGAAAAAGTCTGAGATTGGATAATCGTGTTTCATAGGGTAGTGAACCCTGTCCACTTACGAGTTTGGTTGCCCGCATTTGGACTTTCTCAAGGATGCTGAGATCTTTAGAGGTCTAGGGTTTCCACGCCTGAATAGCGAACTCTAGCTGTGGCCATACGAAAGTCCGAAAGACTTTAACGAAGCAGTCCTCATCAAAGGTAGAGAAAGTTCTCCTGACAAGATAAAGGACTGACATCGCAGACTTGGCTACCTTGGAGCTGTGGAGCGACGGTTTTAGAGAAGCCGTTACCCACACACCCAAGTCTTTCTGGGCGTCTACTCCCAGCAGTGGTATGCCATTTAGGTGGTAAACCCTCTGACTTAGAGATCGGGTCCTGCCGACTCGCAAAACATTGCACTTAGTCACATTAAACGGCAAAAGTCAGTCCTGTGACCATTTCTCGAGTCGGGTCAGGTCTGCCTGCAAGCGCCCTTCGTCCAATTCAGTTCGGATAACGCTCCCAAGTTTAGCATCCTCAGCGAACATGGCGACATCACAATTCAGTTCACTGACGCAGTCGTTGACGTATATAATGAATAAGGTAGGGCCAAGAACGGAGCCTTGCGGAACACCGCTTTTAACTGCTACCTCTGCATACAGCCTGTTACCGACGTAGACGATTTGAAAGCGACCGATCAAGAAGCCTTGCATCCACCTCAGGAGATTACCCCTTACGCCTGTCCGGCTTAATTTGTACAGGAGACACTGGCGCGGTACACTGTCCAATGCCTTCTTAAAGTCGACGTAGACTGCGTGCACTGCATTGCCGCCATCGACTGCCCGGGTCCAGCGATCTAAACAATAAAGTAGATTTGTCACGCATGATCTGCCTCTACGAAATCCGTGCTGGGCTTCGCATAGCACATTATGCTCTTCGAGGAAGTGCATTATTTCTCGCTTAATTATTTTTTCCATAATTTTGCAGCAAATTGAAGTAAGGCTAATCGGTCTGTAGTTGTTTGCTAAAATTTTGCTGCCGCCTACATAAATTGGCGTGATCCGCGCGGATTTCCAATCGGCCGGCAAGTAGCCTGCTTGGAAGAGCATGGACAGCGGTTTAGATAGTTCTCCAGCAAGCTCCTTCAACAATTTCGGCGGTATGTCATCCGGCCCAGGTGATTTGGACTCATTCAGCGTCAACAGTACTTTGCGAACAATAGCTTCGGCGAAAGAGACGTGCTCAATCGTTGGCCCGTCCACTATGTCGCTGTCGGGAGGGAGAAATGTGCTCTCCTTCATAAAGATGGACTTAAAAAATTGTGAAAGGTGATTTGCCTTTTCTCCGTCTTCACTGAGTTCTAGGTCGTCACTAGTTTTCAGTAACGGGATTATATCTCCGTTTCGTGTGCTTCTTCTTATGTAACCATAGAATAACTTCGGATTTTCTGCGGCTCGAAAGTACCCCGCGTCCCGAGGATTAACTTTCTATTTAGGTTCTTCTGTGCTTTGTATGCATTTATCGACACAGAGCTCCTATCCGAGAGGGATTTTCTCCACAACCACCGCTTTTTATTCACTTCTTTTTTAATGCTTGTGTTAGCCATGGGGGTCTGCTGTTCACTTTCTTCTGTGAAATAGGACTGTGGTCTCTGAGAAGAACGTGCAGTAACCCACTAAACCAGTCCCTCTCCTTGATTATACTACTATTACTACTACTACAACTACTACTACTATTACTACTACTACTGCTACTGCTACTACTACTACTACTACTACTACTACTACTACTACTACTACTACTACTACTACTACTACTACTACTACTACTACTACTACTACTAATACTACTACTATTGTTTCGACGAAGAAGTCTACAGAATAGAACTAAATTATCTATTCTAATTATTTTCAATGACATTAGAGATTTCGTGTATAGGTTCATGAGAAAACAAGAGCCAAAAGCGACGGTACTAAACAGTCCCAAACAGGCGTAGAAAGCAAATACTTAGTAGTAGTAGCATCAATAGTAGTGTTACTGTTAGTAGTAGTAGTAGTAGTAGTAGTAGTAGTAGTAGTAGTAGTAGTAGTAGTAGTAGTAGTAGTAGTAATAGTAGTAGTAGTAGTAGTAGTAGTAGTAGTAGCATTAGCAGTTCTAGCCGTAGTGGTAGCACTAGTCGAAGTAGTGGAAGCAGTAGCATCAGTATTATAAGTAGTGATGTTAGGAGTAGCAGTAGTAGCCGTAGTGGTACTGGTTACATCAGTGGAAAATTAGCAGTAGTAGTAGTAGTAGTAGTAGTAGTAGTAGTAGTAGTAGTGATGGTGGTGGTGGTAATAGTTCTAACAATAAATGTGGTAGTAGTAGTAGTAGTAGTAGTAGTAGTAGTAGTAGTAGTAGTAGTAGTAGTAGTAGCATAAGTAATAGCAATGTAGTAGTAGTGACAATAGTAGTAGTGGAGGTAGCAGCGGCAGTAGTAGTAGTAGCAGTAGTATCAGCAGCGATAGTAGTGTTATCGGTAGCAGTGGTGGTAGCATTAGTAGTTATAGTAGTTGGAGCAGTAGTACTTGTAGTAGCAATAGTAGTAGTGGTAGTAGTAGTAGTAGCAATAGTACTTGTAGTAGTAATACTAGTAGTGGTAGTAGTAGTCGTAACAGTAGGAGTAGTAGTAGTAATAGGAGAAGTAGTAATAGTACTTGTATTAGTAATAGTAGTAGTAGTAGTAGTAGAAGGAGTAGTAGTAGTGGCAGCAGTAGCATTAGAAGTAGTAGTAGTAGTAGTAGTAGTGGTAGTAGTAGTAATGAGAATAGCAGCAGTAGGAATAGTAGTAGTATGGAACAATGGGAGGTCGCTTTTTAGCAAATGCTAACTGAAATTCAACAACAGCTCTTCGGTTTGGGGTGGTGGGTGGAATTTTCTCGCAGCTACTTTAACAAGCACAAGTCCTTCAGTTTACGACTTCCTCATGTCACTCTCTGAAACACCGTAGAACAATTATACCGCCACCAGCGACCTGATGAGTTCACTGGACCATCTTACTTGACTTACTGCGTTTATCTCATATAAGTGCATATCCTGGTATTGCAAGATTCACAGGACCTTACTCTGGGTGTCCTCATGCGTCTTGGTCACCTTACGTGAAGATACAGCCAGTAAAACGACCTGATAATGTGTAGCATGTCAAGAATATCACTGTTGGCGTCTCAGACGCGCATGCGCCTTCCGTCACTAATACGCGCGCCACACTACGTGTGAGGTGATCGTCAGCTTTCAGGTGAACGAAACGGTGGCGCGCGTTCAGCCTCGGTGCAGCTGATCGCAGCAGTGGAATTAGAAAAAAAAAACACGCGACTCTAACGTGGCCGATCGGCGCCTTTCGCCACAGGTGGTCCAGAGCGCATCGGGATCGCTTAAGCTGGTTCCGGACGCCTACTTATCGGACAATTAGAATCCTGACAACTGGCTGCCCAAATGTGGTCAGCGCACAAAAAGGCCAGCTCCGTTGACAGAACTTTTTTACCTACAGAAGAGGATAACTTTTGCCCTCTTTAGTGAGCTTTGGATAATCGAAATTCCAATCTTCTTAAGGTCAGCATATCCTCAAAATTGCGTTTTGCTGAAGTGTCAGATAATGTTCAGTAACAATGAGTTTTCTGTGGACGATTTTCCTTATCTATGTCTCCTCCTCGTAGGGAGTAACACTTCACGGCTCTGTAAATCCCGTGCTGTCTGAAACGGAAGACTTTTCTGTCTTCCTGGAAACGGTCATGTCACTCCTTGCTTGCATGTCTGTGGTTGGCTGACGGTGGTGAATGGGTCAGAAGCGCTGCCTCGAATAACTCTCAACATTGTTTGTGTTCCTCCTATTTATATCGCCGCCTGCGAATGCTCTGGACTGAACTCCAAAGCCCGCTAAAGTGAGTCTGCATATTCGTACAGTCAAATTGGTTAAGCACAAATACCATGTTAAATGAGGAATGGGCGCACACCGATCTACTGGCTTCACGAAGCAAACAAGCTCCGTATGGGTGGCAAAGTTCACGAACAGGCAACCAGTTACGAGCAACAGAGAATGACAGGTGGCGAGGTACTGATGAACACGTAGGTTTAATCTAGTGCTTATGGCCCATCTGGTAGATCTCAGTGGTGGATCAACTGTGCCAGTTGCATCTGTGCGCATTTTTGTATTTCTGCTCCCAGCTGCTGGTCAGGGTTATGATTGGATGAATGAAGGCAGAATAAGCCCGAAACAGTGCTGTATCAATCTAAGCGCGTTCGCTGTCATCCCTCCTCGCTCAAAATGCCATGTGCTTTGCCCTTAGAAGGGCTCCAGGCGGTTGATGCATTGCACCAAAACGGGGACTAGATCGAGGTGCGGCATGTGTTGTCGGGAAAGGCACACTCATAACAATGGTAGGGGGCACTCACCGGTCGTTCTTACGGAACTCACTCGTTCCGTTGTGCCTTACGGGCTCTCTCTCGAGCCCAACCAGCAGCCGCACAGCGGCACATGATATAGGTAGTATGGTATTACCAACAAAAACATGGGAGACTGGAATGACCATTTCTGGCTTATTAACCGTCGTCAGCCAGTCGTACGCGACCCCGAAGTGTGGAGCACCCGAGGCTCGAAATCGTAACCTGTTAGTTAGAAGTCCACGCCTCTAACCACTGGGCCACGAGCCCGTTGCCGTGTCGGTTTCGATCGGAAAAATACAATGGTAGGGGACGCTCACCGATCATTCGTACAGGCATAACAGATGCCAACGTCGGGGTATGACAGCGAGCCTAGGTGCAGACCCGCGCCAGCTGATCCCCAAGACGCTGACCAGTGCACTTTGGGGACCAGGTGGTATGACGGTACACCTAGGTCCGAGGTTTCGCTGTGCCTGCCTCCTGCGCGCTTTCTCTCTCTCTCTCTCTCTCCGTGATGTTAACACCCGGTTTTGGGAGGAAGAGGGAGTGCGGTAGATGAAGTGCAAGTCAACCACTATTATAAATGAATTCATGCCCGATCCACAGTCCCTGCTCTTACCCTGTTACGCATTACACAGTGGACATCGTCGGCAGCGTTGGTCGACAAGATTAACTGAGTTCTGTATAGTCGTAAATATTCGTATCCTAACTTAAAACAATTGTGGGATGTAAACAGTTCGACCGTCCTTGCCGGGGAAGTCCACCGCTTGCTCCAGAACAAGGTGAGAACAGGGACGGTGACTTGCGTGTGAATGTGTTTATTGTGATGCTTGGCTTGCGTTTCATCTCCCGCACCCTGCCCTCCATTACACTCTTGGGCCCAGTGCTAAGAAATGGCGAAGAATACCGGAGGCGGAATCGGACGCAAGTGGCCGGCCTGGTGCGGGCCTGCGCCTAGGCGTACCACAGTACCCATTGATCATGCTTGTTATTTGTGGGTGTACATTCCCAACAACACCTGTCGCATCCCGATTTAGCCCCTTTTCGGTTCACCGCATTTACCCCGCGGCCGACTTTAGGGGAAGAGTTCGTCAACTATGTAGTTGAACCTGAACGTCGCTACGCCTAGATAGCATGCCAAAAGGATGGCTATTAGGGGATTTGTTTATCATGCCGTGCCCCCAAAACGGACCACGCAGTAAATGCGCTGGACCAACAGGGTGACCATATTGGTCCCTGCAGGCGTTATCGGAACGCGCACTATAATAAATGCCCATATTTCGAGGTGCGGTGGCAGATCCAGCTTCCGGTAGAGGACCGTCTTGTCATTGGAACTGACCGCGAGAAGGTCACTTTGCAAGAGGTGTCAGAGCTCTTCTGTCGGTCCTATTCACTTTAGGAAGGAAGGTGGTTGGACTGTAAAACCCTCTCGTATTATTCATTTCTCTCCTTTTCCTATTTCCTGCCGTAGTATCATCATTATTATAAGTAGTGATTATTGGAGTAGCAGTAGTAGCCTTTGTGACCGTAGGGAAATTAGTAGTAGCAGTAAAAGTAATAGTAGTAGTAACGGAAGTTGCAGTTGTCGTACTAGTACTAGTAGCAGTGGTGGTAGTAGTAGTAGTAGTAGTAGTAGTAGTAGTAGAAGTAGTAGTAGTAGTAGTAGTAGAAGTAGTATTAGTAGTAGTAGTAGTATAAGTAGTAGTAGTAGGAGTAGTAGTATTAGTAGTACTAGTGGTAGTATTAGTAGTACTAGTGGTAGTAGTAGTAGTAGTAGTAGTAGTAGTAGTAGAAGTAGTAGTAGTAGTAGTAGTAGTAGTAGTAGTAGTAGTAGTAGTAGTGGTAGCAGTAGCAGTAGTGGTAGTGTTAGCAGTAGCAATAGTAGTAG